ATCGGTCCATTTGAACCAACCGGACCAAACCAGATCGCCCCGAACCGTCGGTCCAAACTGTGCATTGACTGGACCTTGACCGGACGGTTCAAGTAAAAATTTTTTTTTTAATTTTTTAAGAATTTTTTTATAAATTATTTTTGTTATTTTAATTATTATTATTAATATTTATGCATGTAAAAATGTTTAAATTTACCAAAATAAATTTCTATTGTTTTATAATATTAATTAAAAAATAATAAAAAATAAAGAAAAGAAATTTTTATCCGATGATGAGATTCAGAGGTATTCCGAGTAGTGATACATATGAAATCTCTTGGTGAGAAGATTTTTTTTTAATACTACCAGTGTATTGGAGTATTTATAAAAAATTTTCAATACAATAAAAATTTTTTTTCTTATAAAATAATAAATAGAAATTAATTAATATATTAAAAAATAATAATATAAATAAGGAAAAAAGAAATTTTATCCAATGATGGATTCTAAAAGTATTCTGAGTAGTGATGCTTTACGAAATCCCTAGGTGAGAAGATTTTTCTTAAATATTACCAGTGTATTGGAATATTTATAGAAAAACTTCAACACAATAAATTTTTTTCTTTAAAATTAAAAATAAAAAAAAATTAATAAAACAATTAATAAAATTTCTAAAAAGAGAATAAAATGTGTGCATCAACATGTTATTATTTGCATTGCATGCATGACATAAATTTTTTACAAAAAGTAAATTCGAACCTCCAAAGATGAGATTCTAAGGTATTTAGAAAAGCGATACCTAAGAAATCTCTATGTGAGAAAGAGTTCTTCTAATGTTACCAACGTATTGAAACATTTTAAGAATTATTTCAATAAAAATGTTTTAATTTATTTTTCTCGAATAATATTTGATTATAAAAAACAATTCCCAATAAATGAAAAAATAAAAAAATTTATTTTTAAAATACAAAAAAAGACTATTTTTTATCAAAATTAAAGGATAACATATAGTTAAATGGTACTGTTTTTAAATAGGCACTGTGGGGGTGCTAATCGTTTTTCACGCGTAACTGACTCCCGAATCTAGACTGTTTCGTAAACCATAAAATTAGCTTTTTAATAATTTTAAAATTTTATTAAAAAGATAAATTTTAATAGCTAGCCAATCGCATCTAGCCAAAAAAATTGGTGGCGACTCTGTTATTTTTTTATTTTATTTCAAAATTCATCGGACGGACACGGAACCGTTACAACATTTATATAATAATGTTTAAAAATTAAATGTATTTTTTTAGGACTTAATTCTTCAATAAATATTTTAAATAGACAATTGGTAAATGAAAAATAAAAAATAAAAACATATTTCATTTTTATTTTTATTTTTTTGATAAATGAGAAAACTTAAAACATATAATCTTGTATTAACACTAGTATATGTCATCGAATTTATTTGCCAAAGTAAGTAAATGAACTTTGAACATAAATTTGGTTAAAAAAACTTTGAACATATAAGTGTCCTTAATAAAGACACATAAACTCCATTCAAACCTCCATAATTGATGCAGTTACCATTAAAAATTATTTCACCCATAACTTGCAATCCAAATAATTTTATGGTGTGATGTGATTTCCACCGTTCAATGGAGTTTTGAGTTCTAGTACTCAATTGTCCCTTTATTTATTTATTTATTGTTTTCTCTTTCAAGTTAATCACGTAACTTTTTTTCTATTTCTTTTTTTACTTAAAAATTATAAAATAATTTTGTAAATTTAATATAAAAATAAATTTTATTATTATATAATAAATTAATAAATAACTTTTAATTATTTATAATTTATCTCATTATCATAATCATTATTTTTATATTCAAATACATCTTATTACTGATTTTAATTTTTTTATTACAATAATCTATTTTATATCTACTATTATTTTTAATTTTATTAAAACTAATTTCAAAATCCGTCCAACCAATAGATCCAAAGCGATTGCAAGACCACGTAAATCATGAATAATGTGGAAGACTTCCTGAAAGGCTTCTGTAGTCTTCCTCAAACTGACATTGGCGTCAACTGAGATGTTTCTAATCTTTTTTTTCTTTTCATTTCTTTATCGTGGTGGAAAAAAAAAAGAAGCACACTGGATTGGGGTGGGGCAGACTGGGTACTTGAAAAAAAATTTAATAATTACGGTTTTTTACTATTAGATTACGATTTTTTAAAAAGTTAGTTTTTTTCATATTAGACTGATTTTTTTCAAAAATCAAAGTTTTAAGGTATATTAAACCACAATTTTTTCTTATAGACTATGATTCTTTTAAAAACTCGTAGCCCCTTTATGTTTTAAACTATAATTTTTTGAAAATCGTAACTTTTTTTAATATTAAACTATATTTTTCATACTAAACTATTATATATAAACTATATTTTTATCTATCTGGCACATTTTTATTTATTTTATTTCTAATTTTAAGAATGAATTAAATTTATCAAATTATTTAAAAATACAATAAAAAATAATTATTTTAAAAATAAAATAATAATTTTAAATAATTAAAATATATTTTAATTTTAAATAATTAAAATTTATTTAAAATATATTTTAATTTTAAATAATTTTAAAAATTTTGAAGATATATACAAAAGTTATCATTAATTATTACATTTTATTAAAAAGATTCAAATGAAGTTAAATGATATACTCAATAGAAATAAAAACTAAAATAAAATAAATGATTATGAGCGTAGCGAGATGTTCATTTTTATTACACTTGAATTAATTTTTTTTAATATCTTTTTTATGCGTAATATTGTACATACATATTAATTTGCCTCACCAATTATAATTTCTGGATCCATTAAGCATGGCAGTGAGCTTAATTCAGTTCCAAGTTTTATTTGCACTAATCCTTCTTAAAATTTTATTTTTCTTTTTTTTATGAAAGGGAAATTAGGGGTGATGTATTTTGGCAAAAGAAATTTATTTGGAATAATGCATATTGTATATTTGGCTATCAAAGTGCATTTAAAAAGGTATTCGAAACAAGAAAAATAAAAATTATCGAAATATTTTCTTAAGTTTGATTGACATATTATTTTTTCTTTAAAATAAAATTTGAATCTATTTTTTCAAAATTATTGCATAACCAAATATCATAATCAAATAATCAAAAATAAAATTGCGATCAATAATCTTCTTTTGAATCAAACGCCAATGATGCAAATTTTCTCAAAGTTGAAAAGTTTGCATTTCTTAAAGCAATTGATTTGTCTTTTATCATTTTTTCTTTTGAAAATACATATAATTTGTCTACTTTTTCTTTCTTTTTTAATTTTTTGAAATGTTGGCTACTTCTTTATTTCTAATCCAATGAGTGTAAACTATAAAGCAGGGGCGTAGCTAGGGGGCCTGGCAAGGGTCTTGGCCCCCCCACCCCCAAAATTATTTTTGCACCATTGGTATTTGGCCCTCTTAGAAAATAATAATTTATGGTTTTACCTTCTATAACTATAAGCTTCAATTTCTGACTTTGCTTTGCTTGGAAAAAAAATATTTAGTTCTTTTTTTCAGGTAAAAAATAATACTTAATCTCTTATTTTTATAAGCTTAGTTCCTTTATTTCTAGTAAAAAATAATTCTTAAACCTCTATAACTAATTGACCCACCAAAAATAATACTTAATCCTTTTTTTAAAAATAAAATTATTATTTGATTCTTTTTTCCTTATATCTTTAGCTTCGGCTGTGATATAAATATTCAATTTGGAAAATTTCTCAAAGTTGGAAAGTTTGCGTTTCTTAAAGCAATTGATTTATCTTTTATCACCTTTTCTTTTGAAAATGCAAGAAGATCTACGTCATTCTATCTACTTTTTCTTTCTTTTTTAGATTTTGAAATGTTGGCTACTTTTTTATTTCTAAACCAATGAGTGTCAAGCGTAAAGTTATGGGTAAAAGAATTAAAAGAACCTAAAATGTGAAAACACTAATATTTCTCTGCATGATTTTATGAAAGCAATATCAGCCTCTATTTCTTGCTGAAACTGGGATCAATCCCTTACTAAATTTCTTCTTCTAGGCTATGGTTGGATGAGGTATTTGAAGGGTGTAATGTATTTCAAGCATGCTTTTCTAAACTCAAAAAATAAATTCATTTATTTTGCTAAAAAGAAGAAAGAATTTCAAATTTTTGGCAAATTTCAAATGTGTAAATGAAGTCAAAGTTGGATCAAATCCACAAAATCTCTTTTTGTCACCAAGTCAAAATCTCATTGCAAGAAAATGGGGTTTAAGAGAGGAAAAGTTTAAGTTTTTGGGTTTTTATTTTTCTTTGGTGATAGAAAAAGAATTAGTGATGAGTGTGTTTTTTCCTTTTATTTTTTTGTTTTTAGCATGTGGCGAAAGTTAAAAGCATGACGTGATTTTTTAATTTCTTGATTATTATTGTTTACTTACCTTATTTTTTAATAGGCGGAAATGACATATTTGTCAAATGCAATTTAATAAGATTTTTTCTTCATAATCAAAATGATTTTTTCACGAAAAATTAATTATTTTTATTAATTAAATAACTTTGCATATTATTTATGTGTCAAAAAAATTGCATAAATAAAAATTATAATTGATCATAATAATTAGTTGTGAATTAAATTTTAAAATTATCCATTTTTAAATTAATTTAATTTTCTGTAGTTGTTTTTATTATAAAAATAATATTTTGAAATAATAATCTTTCTTTTATTATTACTACTATTTTTTATAAGTAATATTATTTAATTTAAGTTTCTTATAAATAATTTTTTTCAAAAAAAGGCGACCTCACGCAGAACAGATGCAACATTCTAATATAAATATATAATAAAAATTATAGAAACAAAACCAAAAAAAATTATGGAGACAGCCATTGCAATTGGGTCGGAATCACTTGCAACAAGGCTGGAAGCATCACCAATCTAAGCCTTCCAGATTATGGGTTCAAAGGTACACTTCATGGTCTCAGCTTCTTGTCCTTCCCCAACCTCATGGGTCTTCACCTTCCTAACAACTCACTGTATGGGTCCATTCCCTCACACATTGGAAATCTTTCCAAGCTCACCGAACTTGACTTGTCCATGAATGATTTCTCCGGAAATATTCCATCTAACATAGGAAGGTTATTAAGTTCACTTTCTATACTCTATCTCCATGAAAACGATCTCACTGGTCCAATACCTATTTCTATTGGTAGCTTGCACAATTTGTCCCGACTTATCCTCGTTGACAATAGGCTCAATGGTTCCATACCTGAAGAAGTTGGAATGATGAGGTCACTTGTTATGCTTTATCTTTCAATAACTGGTCCTATCCCAGTATCTCTGGGAAACCTAAGAAACTTGGTATGGCTTTATCTATATGGTAATAACCTCTCTGGTTCTATCCCCAATGAAATAGGACAGCTCGGATCTCTTACCACAATGCAGTTGTTACATAATAATCTCACTGGTGTCATCCCTGCTTCCATAAGAAACTTAACCAAATTGTCTACTTTTTACCTTTTTGAAAATAAGCTTTCCGGGTCAATACATCAAGAGATAGGGATGCTTGTATCTCTTACAGAACTTATTTTATATGATAACAATTTCTCTGGTTCAATCCCCGCTTCCATAGGAAACTTAACCAAATTGTCTAGTCTTCACCTTCTGGAGAATAAGCTTTCCGGGTCAATACCTCAAGAGGTAGGTATGCTTGTATATCTACAGAACTTCTTTTATCTCAGAACAGTTTGTCTGGCTTCCTTCCTCCAACACTTAGCAATGTTACTCATTTGGAATGATTGCAATTATCAGACAACCAACTTAGTGGTCCATTACCTCAGAATGTATGCCTCGGTGGACAAATCGTATATCTTGGGGTTAACAACAACAATTTGACAGGTCCGATCCCATCAAGTTTAGGAAACTGCAAAAGCTTGTACAGAGTTAGGCTTGAAGGAAACCAGTTGACAGGAAATATATCAGAAGCTTTTGGTATATATCCTATATTTGAATTATATTGCATTAAGCAACAACAAATTTTATGGTAAACTTTCGCCAAACTGGGGGGCAATGCCATAGTCTAACAAGCCTACGGATCTCCAATAATAACATTTCTGGAAAGATACCACCTGAGCTGACGCATGCAACTCAAATACACGAACTCGATGTCTCTTCAAATCATCTCATTGGTGAGATTCCCAAGGAATTGGGAGCATTGACATTGATGTACAAACTTTTGCTAAGTGATAACCAACTTTCTGGCAAAATTCCACCAGAGATTGGAGTTCTTTTAAATCTACAATATCTTAACTTGGCATCAAACAATTTGAGTGGACAGATTCCTAATCAACTTGGAGAGTGCTCAAAGTTATTGGACCTGAATTTGAGCAAGAATAAACTTGGAGAAAGCATTCCACTTTCAGTAAGCTGCGTAAATGGCCTTCAAAATCTAGATTTAAGCCAGAATTTACTTATTGGGGAGATACCACAACAGCTTGCAAAATTACATCCCTTAGAAATGTTGGACCTTTCTTACAATGTGCTCAATGGTTCCATCCCAAATTCTTTTAATGATTTGAAAAGCTTGACTGTTGTGAATATATCTTACAATCAATTAGAAGGCCCTACTCCTAACATTAAGGCATTTCATGAGGCTTCATTTTATGCCTTAAGAAACAATAAGGAACTATGTGGGTAATGCCACTGGACTAATGCCTTGTGCTGTCGCTGCTACTAGCAACGGTCATAGAAAAAGCACCCAAGTCATCATTTTCATTGTGCTTCCACTCTTTGGTCTTCTTCTTTTGCTCTTTATCATGGTTGGAAGTTTCCTTATTCTTTGCCAAAAGAACCAAACCAGAAAATCCGAGTCAATCGAGGCACAACTTGGAGATTTTTTCACATTGTGGGGATATAATGGAAGAATACTCTACGAGAACATTATTGAAGCCACTGAAGATTTCAGCTCCAACAATTGCATTGGTTCAGGAGGCTATGGAGCTGTTTATAAAGCTGCGCTACCCATTGGTGAGGTGGTTGTTGTGAAGAAACTTCACCAATCTGAAGGTAGCATGATTTCCAACAACTTGAAAGCCTTTGAAAGCGAGATTAATGCTTTATCAGAAATAAGGCATCCTAACATTGTGACGCTGTAAGGCTTTTGTTCACATCCAAAGAACTCATTTTTGGTTTATGAGTTTGTAGAAAGGGGAAGTTTGAGAATGGTTTTAAGCAACAAGGACGAGGCAATGGAGTTGGATTGGGAGAAGAGGCTAAATGTTGCAAAAGGAGTGGCCAATGCCTTGTCTTATATGCATCATGACCATTCACCACCTATAATTCATCGAGATATTTCCAGCAACAATGTTCTTCCAGATTTGGACTATGAGGCTCATATTTCAGATTTTGGCACAGCCAGGCTTTTAAAGCTCGACTCTTCCAATTGGACCTCACTTGCTGGCACTTTTAGGTATATAGCTCCAAATATTTATTCATATCTTTTTTTGTTAAGATGCTTTAAACATGTCATCATTCAATTAAAAGTGTTAGTTTTGTGTGCAAATTGATGTGTTAAAACAAAGTACAAGTAGTATTAAGATTGTAACTTTTCAAATTTAAGTATCAAAGATTTTACTCTAATTAAGTATCAAATGTGTAATTAATCTTTGAACTCTAACACTTAATTTTGTTAGGAAAATGGGGTCCAGTCCAACGTAAGTGGTTTTGGACCAAGTAAAGGCCATGGGCCTTGATCTTTTATTTTACACAGAGCCCTAGCTACTTAATAAAAAAGAAGTGGGGTTGTTTTATGTGTGTGTCGACAACCAAGCAGAGAAAGAAAAAAAGCCAGGAAAAGCAGAGAGAGAAAAAAGAGAAGGGAGAGTTGGTTAAACGGAAGTTGATCTGTGGTCCGATTGAGTTGGAACCTTGTCAGGAGGTTTATGATTCAGAGTTATACATTCTGAACGGTGCAAGATCGGGTTGAAGCTCTCTAGAACAATCCAGGGTGTATTTGTTGAGTCACTATTTGGTGAGATTTCTCCATTGTTCTCTAGTTGTGATTAGCTCTAGTTTTAGCTAGAGAAGAACTTTGTATAAACTATTATTTGATAGTGAAGATTTCTGGTGGCTCATGGTTTTTCCCTCTACACTGGAGGGTTTTCCACGTAAATCTTGGTGTGCTTTATTTTTTCTGCGCATTTGATTATTGATTGTTGTCTATTGCTTCTGTATTGTTGTGATTATTGCTTCAGGCGCAACAAATTTTACAATATTCAATGTATTAAACTGATGAACTAAATGTAAAATCTTATTCAAACCTCAAATTTTCAATTTTCATGTAATTTTTTAAATATTCCCAATTTCTTTTCAACATTAATCTTCTCAATATTCTAACATAATAATGTATTGATTAGATATATTTATTGCTTACTAGAGTACATTGATCAAAGATATTTCTTTAAGTAGAGTTGGCTTATACAATGAAAGTAGATGAAAGATGTGATGTTTACAGTTTTGGAGTACTAACAATGGAAATACTTATGGGGAGGTATCCTGGTGATTCGATTTCATGTTTCCCATCGTCGTCATCGGCACTAGCATCAACATCGACATCGATACCAATTGACAACCAACTGATTTTACTTAAAGATGTGATAGACCAACGCCTCTCACCACCGGTAAGGCAAGTTGCAAAGGATGTTGTCTCTACTACAAAGCTGGCATTTGCATGCTTGAACGGCAGTCCCCAACTTCGGCCAACCATGCGACAAGTTGCTCAAGCCCTTACACGTCAATCGCTTCCATTGCCCAATCCTTTCTCAATCATAAAATTGGGAGAATTGTGGGATCGTGAAGTCTATAGTGGCTAATATTAAGGTGTTAACAATTTGAATAATAATTCTAAGCACGTGTATTTGCTTTCAATCTATTTCTTTTACTCTTCTTTGTACTGAAATGTTTAAGCACTCTAGTAATAAAGCTTTTGTAGTGAATTAGCTGTGATATAGAACAGCTATGTTTAAGCTTGTAATATAGAACAACTGTGTTTAAGCACTCAATTTTTATATTCAAGATTTCCTATTTTTGAAATGTAACTAATGGCCAGACTTAGAATTTCAACTTTCAGTATCAATTGTAATATTCTACTATAATATTGATTTGCGACAATACTTTCGCTTCGAAATGCTACAGCAATTCTAATATCACTTTTTTATTTGTTTGAATAAACAAAAAAAAAAATTGGTGAGCACACCAAATTACAATAAACAGAACTTCACACAATAACCTTTTGATTTTTCTATTTACTCGCTATTTATTTTTGTGCACACTCGTACACATTAGTTTTTACAGTTTCATCTTTCTAACCTTTCACTATTCACCGCTTGTTAAATCATTCAAAATTTAATTGTAATTGTATTGAGTATAATTGAAACGGATTTGAGTGATAATTTTGAAATATATACCTTTAACTTGTACCTTTTTTTTGCTAAAATGCTAAAATGTTGTACTTTTCTCAAATTTATCAAATAAATCTTTATCTTTTTTTTTATCTAATTGAAAGCATAAAACATTATTCTTATTTAATTAAGTCTTATTTTACATGAAAATCACTAAAATTCATTATTTTTACCATATCAATGGTAATAATTGTCTTTGTTAAATTAATTTCAGCATTGCAAAACATAAAAATTTAAATTGAATTGTCGTTTACATAATATGTAATGAATGGCTCATATAATAGGCTACGTTAGCATCTAAAGAGCATTTTTATTTTCAAATATATGCTATGTAGATGTTGGCATCATAAAAAGAAATACAGCATATATGTTGATTTGATAAGAAATAATATTATTTTTTGCAATTTTCATCTAAGAAAAAGAGCTTAATGAAACAAAATTATACTCAAATTTAATTAGACAAAAATAAAATTTTTAAGGACTTAATTGGTTATAATAGAAGGATGGAGGCTTATATGAAAATTTCATGTGATTGATAAGCCATCAATGACATTGAATTTCAAGCCTGCTAGTTAGTCTTCTATTCAAATTTTGAAAAAAAAAAAAAAATTGGTGATGCGATAAGATAGTCTTTTACTCATGAAGAAAAGGAGAAGACTTGAGTATTTGAGTTCCAAGAAACAATGTGCCATTTGTTTGGAGGAGTTCTTGGTTGGAGATGAAGTTGCCTCAATGCGTTGCAGGCATGCATGTTTTCCATGATGATTGCATTGTTAGGAGGATTTTCAAAAATTTTGCAAACTTCTTTACAGTGTTTAAAATGAGGAGATAATACAATAAACAATCGTGCTTTGATATAATTGTATAAAATCTTATGGCAATCGATGGATGAATACATTTTACTCAAATTTCTCAGAGTGTTGCCAGTTATCTCTACATTAATTAGTCACACATTAGAATTGACCTTTTTTGAAATACTGAATTTAGTTGTACAAATAGTTTTTGGAAAAGATTTATAGATATGATGGTGGCATCTTTATGTGTTATTTTACTTCATATTGAATTATTAGAGTAAAAGAAAGCTTGGATGGTTGTGGATACAGATCATTCGGATGATACTTAGATGATTTGAAATTAAAATTATTAGATTTGGATTATTTTGAGTTTAAATTATTATATTTTGAAATCAAATCAATTTATTTTAAATTAATTTTTGAGTTATTTGAGTTCGAATCATTTCAAAGTCATATTAATTCAAGTTTAAATAATTTTTGAAGTTTGAGTTAAGCAAATTTATATTGTGAATTTTTTTCTAATCAAATTAGATTGAATCAAGTTCATATCTAGACAGATTTAAGGTTATATATTATTATAATTATTATTGTAAAATGAAAATATTAATGCTCTTTAAAAAAATTATTAAAATTTTATTTATTGATTGCTATCCAAATTGAATTAACTAAATATAGAAAGAAGTTAGACTGAGAAACAAAGAATGATCTTAGAAGCAGAAGTACTAAGACATGAGAAATAAAATGGATTCTACAAACAATTAACTAAAGCATAGCAATTACTTCCATTAATTGTTGTCTATAACAAATGTAGAAATGTGAAACCAATTTGATTTTGATTTTAAATAAATAAATATATTTACCTTCACTACTTTATATTCACAGCTTACATATATAGCTACGTGTGCAACAAAGCTTTCTCGATCAATCTAATAATGGTATCATCTCTTCGATCAACTAGTCTTTGCCTTAGGTATCTTTTCAAACTACTTTAGCCACTGCTCCATCCATTGAAACAAAAACCCTTCTGAAATGGAAAGCTAGACTTGACTAGGGGTGAGCAATTGTTAAGTTGGTCGATTTAATTCAGTTCTAAAAAACTTCAAAAACCAAAAACTGATTTAACCGAACCAAGTTATACAAAGCTAACATCATAAGTAAGCTCTAGAATTCAACATCTTTGTCCAATCGAATTTACAACAACTAGAATTGTTCAACATCCAACACTCTTACTGTCAACTACTTCCTAAGAAAGCAGTACCAAGTACATCCGAATCATAAAAAGATGAAACAAAAGTTGTATTCAGGAAACTGGTCCTAAGTAGTCACCTTCCAAACTCACCAATGCCTGAAATTCCCTCTCTGCTTCCATCCACTTTGTTCCAATCACAATAAATCGGATGACAACATCCTTCTCAATCTTCGAGTGCTTGTCATTCATGAAGATA